CTGCCGTGGCGCCCGCCTTGTGGAACATTCTCCCCCGCCCTGGAATTAGGTTAGCTCCATCCCTCTCAACATTCCGCAGGTCCCTCAAGTCCTGGCTGTGTCTCCAGGCCGGGGGTCCCAGGGGACCAGGGATGTTCTTAGATGGCTCCGCTGTGGTTGATCTTTTTACTCTATGTGGTTTATATATTTAATTTTTAGTGTTTTTCATTTTTAATAATGATTTTTATATTTTTATGATGATTGTTGTATGCCACCCAGAGTCACTTTTTGTGAGATGGGTGGCCATATAAATGCAATAAACAAACAAACAGAGTTGCCATCTCCCCAGGAGGAAAAGCAATTTTAGCCAAGCAGGAAACACTGTAAGTGGTGGAGACCAAGCACCCACTCCTCTGTTAGCCATTGGCCTTGGGCGCATCTGGGAAAGGATTCAGAAGATGCTGGTCAAAACTGGTTTGCTCCTCTCAGGACGGAAAGGGCGTTCTCACTCTAGGCTCTGAAGCACAACCACACTGCGCAGGGACAGAGCTGGAAGGCGGTGGGGCAGCCCTGCTCTTGCCGCACACTGGGGCCTCCCCCCTTGCCAAGCACTGGTGCTGGGGCTTCCCAGATTGCCTAAAGAGCTCTGCAACTCCCCAGGGTGGAAATGATCAATGGGAGACAGGAGAGTCTACCGCAACCCTTCAGGGGGGCTTGACCTCAACTCCCACCACTCACTCTCACCTCAAGAGGGGCTGGGGAAGATGGGTGCTGGCCTCCAGGAGATCTCAAGGACAGGAAGGGTTCTGACACACAGGCCAGTCGCTGCCTGGGCCAATACACAAGCTCAAATGCATCTCAATGCAGCCGTAAGACAGCCTCACTCAGTGCAGGATCAGGCTCGGGAAGGGATCCAGAAACTAGGGAGGGGGTGAAGGCAGGCCCCCCCTCAAGGGCAACTTTTTCGGGGGAGGGATGTCATCCGTGGCTGCCCAGGGAAGAAATTCACTAGGGTTCTTGGGAAGAGGCAAAGATATATCTGGGGGAGCCACTCCATGGAGCCAATGAACGCCTCACGGGGAGCACTAGGGCCACAAAACAGACCTGCTGGAGGAGAATTCGGGCAGAGTTCAGATGGCTTTCCAGCAATGGCCTCCGTCTTGCCTTTAGGGCAGGGAGCCTTCGCTCTTCTTTTCAAGGGAGGGAAAGTTTGGCTGACCGGCACACAGAGACAACTGGGCAAAAGATGCAGCGTTGTAAGGCAAGAGTTTAGCTGGTGATTATGAACCCCTCTTCTACCCCACAGCCAAGAGGCCTCATTTCCAGGAGCAAACCACCACTCCAGACTTGTCCTCAACAGTCCCCCACTGCCAAGAGTTCACAAGGGAAGATGGCATCCACCACGGAAGGAGAGGCTGAGGCAGCAGCTCCGGCTGGGCATGGTCATCGTTTAAGCAGCTGGTACCTGGCACGCATTACCTGTTTAGCTTGCTCTCGCTGATGCAGCTCCAGCTTCTCTGCCTGCAGGGTTGGGGGGAAGCAAGGACTGTAGATGTCAGGACACCACAACTTGAAGCAATCCAGAGAGCTTGTGACAGTGCTGGGAGGTCAGCTCAACTCTCCCCGCTCCCACCCCCAGGCTCCACCCTAAGAGATCAGAAATAAGAGCCTGCTGGGCCCACCTCTTCATGCCACAAGCCCCAGGTAACAACACGGTGCTCGGTTAGCACTGTTCATTTACGCCCCCATCTCTGGCAGACGAAGGGGATGGAGATGCCTCCCAAGCAGTCAGATGTTCAGTATCAAACTTATGAACCAAATCTGGGAGTCCCCTGAGCTATTCCAACCAGCTGGCTCTGCTCCACACCCTCTCCTTAGAAAAGAAGATCACCCCCCCGCCAACATTCTGAGATAAAGGCTAGGATAGCCAGCAGTCACTGCAGTGATAGGATGGGAAGGGGACAGATTTCTAGACACCAAGTGTGTTCTTTATCCTGCATGCCCTCCAGCTGTGTGAACTTCAACTCTGATGGTAACTGAAGTCAACACCGCTGGAAGGGAAGACTTCCACTGCACATTCTCTAAACTGGGATCAGACACTTGTCAGGGTGCTAAATCTGGAGGAGATCCCATGAGATGTTCTGATTCAGATGATCAAATGAGGAGGTGTAACTCTGCACAGCAGAAAAAACTGCCGCTCCTCCCTGGATAAAGCAATGGCATCTCCTCCGTTTCCCTCTCTTCCTATCTCAAAGGACATCTGGGTGAGAAAAGGGCTTACCTGAACTCTCAGTTGGTGCTTGGTGTCCTCATACAGCTTAGCCATTGTCTCCAGCTTCTTCTGGGCCTCCTCAGCCTCCCGCCTGCTCCCAGCCACTAGTTTCTCAGAGTCCAATCTGGCAGCCTCCAACTCCAGAGCATGCTTCTGCTTGGCCTGTGCCAACTCCATATCCAGGCACTGCCGCCCATGACTGGCTCTCTCAGTTAGCTCTCTGTTCTCCTCGGCCAGCTGTGTGTGAGCCTGCTGGAGAGTGGTTAGTTGCTCTGTGTAACTGCCATTCTCCACCTGAAGCTGTTGGAGAATGTGCTCTTGTTTGAGGAACCTTTCTTTTATGGAGAACAGCTCTGAGAGCTCCAGCTTGGTTCTGCTCAATTCTGCCTGCAAGATGCCAGTGGCCTTCTGCAGCTGCTCAACCTCTTCTCGATGCTTGTCCTCCTGGGAGGCCTGCTCAACCTGGAGCTGCTGGTACAAGCGCTTGATGGGCATCAGCTCTCCAATCAAAGCCTGAGCTCCTGCCAACTCCTGCTGCTGGCCTGTGAAGAGCTGCTCCTTCTGGGAAGCCTTCTCCTGGCAAGACCTGAGCTCTTTGCAGAGGTCCTCCTCCCGTTTGGAGAGCATGTTCAGTTCCTTCTTCAGGGTGTCCATAGTCAGCCTTAGCTTCTCAGCCTGCTCCTGGGAGCTCTGGGCTTCCGCTTTCATAGCCGAGCACCTTTCTGCTGCTCGGGCAGCAGCTGTGGCCATCTCAGACTGGAGGAGCCTCAGTCTCTCCTCCAGCTTCTTGCTTTTCTCAGACTCAGCCATGACTAGGCGCCGCAGGTCCTTGCTCTCAGCTTCCTTCTCCAGCAGCTGCCTGTGCATGATGGACCTGTCCTGCTCCAAGCTGCTGATATGGCTAGCCTTCCTCTCAGCGTCCTGGCGATACCGTGACATTTGCTCCTTCCAGCTTTCCTCCGACCTGTCCTTCTCCTGAGCTGAGGTACGCAAGGAAGTCAGCTCTTCCTCAGCTCCTGACATGGCCTTTCTGCTTCGGGCCAGCTCCTCTCCTGTGTCAAGGAGCTCCCTCTTCAATTTCTCCACAGTAGCCTTGGAAGCCTCCAGGAGCTTCTCCAACTCAGAGATCCTCTGTCTCTGCTGCCCTGCTTCCCGTTTTAACACTTCTGCCTCCAAGTGCTGCTGTTCTTTCGAGGCTGCTGTCATCTTCTCCAATTTGGTAATGGTGCTCTGCTGCTCCTTGCACTGCTTCTCAAGCTTGTTGACCTGACTATGGAGCGCTTCACCCTCCTTCAGCTGCTTCTCATACAACTCCCGGACGGAGGCACACTCCTTGTCCCAGCGTTGTTTCTGCTCCTCCAGGCTCTTGAGCGACATGTCCTTGGAAAGAATCATGGCTTTCATGCTGTCTATCTCTGCTTCCCGGGTTCTGGCCACTTCCAGAAATCCCTGCAGCTCATTCTCCATTTTGGCCTCTCTCTCCTTCAGGGCCTCCACAGAAGCCAGTTCTCCTTTTAGCTTGCTAACTGTCTTCTGCAGATCCCTCAGCTCCTCACAGCGGGAGACGTTCTTCAGCCGCAGCTCCTCCAGTTCCCTCTCTTTCTCCCCCACCAGGTCCTGGGCCCTGGCCACTTCCTCCTGGAGACTTGAGACCTCCACCCGGTGCTCATTCGTGATGTTCTGCAGCTGCACCTCAAGGGCCGCCTTCTGGGCCTTTTCTGTGGCCAGTTCTGCTTTGGCTCGTTCCTCCTCCCCTGCCAGCCGCTTGGCTTCCTCCTCATGCTGAGCCAGCTCACGCTTCTGTTGCTGCATGGCTTCCTCCAACTTGGCCTTCAGCATCTTCACCTGGGCAGAGAACTGTTCCACCTCATGCTCTTTCTCCTTCAGAGCAGACCTGAGGCTGGACAAACTGGACTCCGCAGTGGTCAGATCTTTACTGCTCTGCTCTCCCAACTGCTTCACTCTGGCTTCCAGCTCATCTCTCTTGAGTTTCTCTTCAGCCAGACTTCTAGTGGCCACTTCAAGGGCCTGGGTTGCTTTGTGCCCATCCTTCTTTGCCTGGGCCACACACTTGGCTGCTTCCTGGCGTGCTGCAGCCAACTCCTCCTGCAAAGTGGCCACCTTGGCTTGGAGCTTCTCTTCTGAGTTTGTCTTCTCCTTGACTTGGGAAACAGCATGAGACAGTTTGGCCTGAATAGCAGCCAGAGCTTCTTGGTGTTGGGCATTGAGACTTTTTAGCTGGGCTTCCAGTTCTGCCAATTTCTTCTGGTCAGTCTGAAGCTTCTGGCCAGTTTGCTCCTGACCCATACTGAGGGCTTTGGCAGTTTGCTCCAGCCCACCACGTTCAGTCAGCTCCCTTTTGGCAGAAGACAACTCAGTCAACTGGTGCTGAAGCTCTTCTAACTTGTTCCTAGATTCATCCTCCAGTCGCTGCATTTGGCCCTCCAAAGCTTGCCTCTTGGCCTTCTCCTCAACCATTTCTTGCATAGCCTGGTCCTTGTGTTTGGTCAGCTCCTGGATCTGCTCTTCCAGCTCTGCTATTTGCCGGAGATTGCCCTCCAGGGACTCTGCTCCTCTCCTCTTCTCATCCTCCAGGATGCCTTCTGTGTTGCGGACGGACTCCTCGAGGATCATCAGCCGCTCCTGGAGGCGAGTATTTTCCTTGGCCAGCTTCTCCTTCTCAGCCAGTTTCTGCTGAGCTTCTCGCAACTGGCTCTTCAGTGCTGGAATGGCTCCTACATGGGCCTCACTCTGCTGGCACTGGGCCGTGAGGGCCAAAACTCTAGCCTCCAATGCTTGGATCTTCTGACTCATCTCAGCTTTCTCCTGCTGGGTCTCCAGAGCAGAAGTATTCCGAGCCTGCTCCAGAGACTGCAGCCGTTCTGCCAGGGAAGACAGTTCTACTTCTTTCTCCTGGAGCTGCCTTACAGCCAGCTCCTTTTCCTGGGCTATCCTGTTGTACTCTTCCTGACTGGCTGCTTCCACCTGGGCCATCTTCTCATTGCTCTGCTTCAGAGAGCTGCTCAGCTGATCCACCTGGTGGCTCAGTTCTTCAATAGCTGCCCGAGACATCTGCTCTTTCTTCTGCAAGTCTTCAGCTAATTGACTCTTCTGGTTCCTCTCCACTTCCACTTGCTGATGCAGAGCCAGCAGCTCCTCGTCCCTCTGGCGAAGGAAGCCCGTCAGCTTCCCAATTTCTGCAGTGAGGGTGTTGGCTTGAGCAATCAAACATTCCTCTTGGGCCCGGCAGTCCTGCTCCAGCTTCTCCTTGGCTCGAGAAATTTCAGAGCTAGAATTCTGCAGCTCTGTCAGGAGGCCCGTAAGCTGGAGTTTCTCAGATTCAAAGCTTCTCCTTTCGGATTGAAGATTGGCCTCGAGGAGGCGCTTCTCTTCTTCAAGACGAAGAATGGTTGCTTGCAGTTCAGCCTGCTTGCTGCTGAGACTCGCCACTTGCTGATTCAGGCCTTCGAGCTGTGGGACAAGCAAGCATTAGCAAGCTTATTATCCAAGAGAGTCATGTGAGGGCGACTGATTTCTCTTTCTCTCTGCTGCAGCGTGAACATCACTTTTCAGTGACATGTAGTGAGTCAGACATTCACTGCTCAGATGGAAAGCACAAGGATATGGTTCCTTTAGGCCAGGTTCACCCAACATGCTAAGGTGGGGTTTGCTTGGTTTGGACTTAGATCATTAAATGAACCCAGTCATTCTGCTCAGAAAACAATGGTTTAAAAATTAGCATGTTGTGTGAATCCCGGTCAATCATGCTTATTCAACAGACAAACCACAGCTTAATGCAATGTGTGAACAATCTGATTGTCCTTGGTACTTGTGACTATTCCGCTCTTCAGCATGAACTCAGGGAAAATTTCTCCCCATTCCCTCTGGAGCTCAAACTGGATGACCAAGTCATGGCAATTTCTCTTATTGATCTTTCCAGGGGAATTTCTATTTTTAAGATTTTGACCTTTACACAAGTGCTTCAATAAATGAATTGGGGTGGTTTAGTATTTCATTTCATCTTTCTTTGAGAGCTTTGGGAGAGGAGTGACGAAGGCAGAGTATTCCAAACGGCGGCAACCGGGCGTCCTTCTGATATTTTAGATTTCCACAATCCCTTTCCACTGGCCACACCACCTGGGGCTGATAATTTAAATTAAAATATATGGAGAACACCACAAAGTATTGCACTGGGAGATTCCTCCATAAGATGTGCTCTATGAAGCCGCAGAGTAAAATTTTGAATGAGTAATGCCATAAGAACTGCATTCATCTCTCTCTCTCCCCCCCTCCCTCTCTCTATGATGTTCTGCCTACATTTGAAAATTCCTTTTGGGAAGATGGAAATGGCCTAGGAAGACCTGGAACCTTCTATCAAGGGAGATCTCAGATGAAGAGTTTCATTCTAGAAAACTTTTGCTGAGCATCCCAAAACTGTTCTGGGTTGCTACTGAGTTTCTCTTTTTTAGGTTTTATTCCTGCTTTTGTTAACTTTACTACTCACAGTTTTGTCCTGACTGCAACAGCCTTGAATATTTTAGAAAAGCCAAAGGTAAATCTAAAAAATTTAAAAAGCGCTTTTACAAGGTGGCCACTGTTTTAAATTTTTGAAAAAGCTATTTTAATGCATTAGTTCATTCACCAGGGTGAGTTGGGAATTAGTCCTTCAGAATTATGCTACAGTAAGAATCATATCGAGAAGCAAAGGAGATTGCTCAGGCAAGGCAGACCCTGGGAAGGTTCTTCAGATATTTCCCAAAGGCAGTGAAAGTGCTTTATCTTTTACAGATGACCCTGAAATGGCATCAAGGGCGGATCAACAGTTTCCCGTCTATCAAACTCGAGCAATCTCCTTGGGGGAGCTGGTCCTGTGACCACCACGCTCCTACCTTTAACACATCGCCCATGACCTCTCCTTTCACAGGCAGGGAAGCAGTCTCATTCAGCTTAGCTAGCTGATCCTCCAGCAGAGAGATCTTCCCTTGCAGAATCTCCACTTTCTCTTCCAGGCATCTCTGAAGAACCACACAGAGACAAGCGATGAAAGCCCAGCTGCCCCTCTCCTCTTCCCTCCAAAAGAGCAGATCATCCCCAGGGCACTCCCCAGTCATCCAGGGGAGGGGAAAGAACATAATCAATGCAGGACCTGTGTGTCACGACCCTTCCCACTTGCCTGCAGGTGTCACCCCTGAAGGGAAGCCCAGCACTGCTCACCTGTAACTGCTCCCAGCCCTCCCTCCAGGCTTGGTCCTTCAACTGAGCAGCCTCCAGCTTCACCTGATACTACACCTGATCCTGCCTTGTGTGTGCTGATAAGTGGGGGGGGGGGTCAAAATTTTATCAGAAGGAAGTGCTATAAGAGAGGGAATGGGGGGGGGGGTCAAAACTTTATCAGAAGGAAGTGCTATAAGAGAGGGA